AACTTCAATCAGAATTTTCATGTACAATGTATGCAGTTTTAATATGCTCGTACAATTACAATGCATTCTAAACTCCCAGAGGTAATGAAGTTTCGCTGTTTACAACAAAAGGGTGACTTCTAAAGGTTCACTTTTCTGAGACACCCTATAGACGCGATAATTGGGGAGGGGGGTTGCATTTTCATTATTCATGTTCACATACCGTAAATCGCTTTTAAAAGAAATCAATAGGGCAGAACACGAATATATGAATATGCACGCCCCCCAATCTGAATCGCGTCTAGTAACGGCCCTGAATCCAGTACGGCTCATGAGCATGCTCAGTATACCAAAATCCAATATATACTCATGCCAGGGACCAGGCATTCTGTAAACCGTCTTTAGCAACTTTTATTTGTAGCATCGGCTATACATTTTGGACGAATATATACAATTGTGTTGCTGCCTGTAAGCTAACAGTGCAAATATCTTGACATGATATGCTTCTATTGAAAGGCGAATGAAGATTGAGTTGACTGACAATATCACTTAACCATAATTGCCAGAAATATAGATTATCAGATGAGAATATAATATCTAAGCAACCTTGGCAGTAAACTCTAGTCGTCTTGGTATCTCGCTAAATCTTACTTAATGACATTATAACAGTTTATAGCTTGTATTTTTGTAATGCTATATAATACCAGTGTATTGTTCTATTGTTGTATTGAGCACGAGTTAAAACTAACCTTCAAATTAGCTTGCCATATTGCTTTGCGACGTTGCTCTTCGTTCGTATCTACATAGCTTTTACAATGCACCAATTTCCAAACTTGCCATTGTCCTTCGCTACCAAGAGGCTTGGTTAATTCTGCTTTTATCGGTGCCGTGCTAAATATCCATGCACAGCCAAACAATACGAATAAAACTCGTACACAACTCATCGTGCTGACACTAAAATATTCATATTTACGATTGAAAACCGACTGCTCTGTATATTAGGATTTCAGCATTGTAAACCATCGAAGCGTGGCTAGATGTTTTATGCATATATTTAAACAAGAATAACAAAATAGGCCCGTTTTGCATTAAACTAGGAGTAAATCAAAACAGTGAGCAGTCATTCAGTCGAATGGCAAGGAAAACAGCTGAATTTTATACTATCATTGCATGCAAGGTTGAAATATATTTCTCATTTTTTACTCGACACTTGCCAAAATAACCAGTTTTGAAAGGTAAAACATACTAGTTATGGAATATTACAAAAAAGTGAAACAACTAGTGGTGGGGGTCAAATCTGAACCACGCAAATAATTTTGATAGTGTAGTATTTATTCTTGCATGTTTATATTGTAAAGTACGTGTAAAGGACTAAAGTCTAGTGTAAAATGGCTGGAGTCACTTTTGACATTCATTACCACTATCACTACCTCGCGCCGACCTGGTTTGCATGATTCAACTGACCATGGTTCAAATGAACCTCGCAAATAATTTTACAGTTGTGTAGTATTTATCCTGGCATGTTTTATATAGTGTAAATGCACTTTCTGGGCTTGGATAATTTTCAAACATTTCTGGGGGGATACCCTCACTAGAGGTTTCGCGGAACTTACTTCATCTCATCTCAACACCCCCCCCCCCCCCCCCC